AAGCGTGCTAATAAATACCAGGAAAAAACAAAATCGGTTGTTTCAGCATTGCAGAGAAAATGAAAAGTGCCCAAACCAGCACCTGCTAGTTCTGTTGGACAGCCTGAGCGTCCCTCCCTGTATAGTAATGTGCAAACCTCTGCATTTCTTTTCAAACAAATTTACATTGGTGAAACTAATTTACAAAGCCTCATTCCCTTTAGGTAGGAGACACAAGCAAAGCCCGGCTGTGTGACGAGTTCTCCTCAGTTGCTACATAGCAATTGCAGTATCTTTTCCTAAAACTATGCTGGGAAATTTGACTTGCAGGCAAATTTTTGCATGCAAAAAAAATCTGCCAAAAAGTTCTAAGGGGCCTGAAAACCAGGAGAACTTGATCTGTGAAGGTTCTACAGCGGCAATATAGTCAGAGCAAGAGTAGGGTTGGCAATTTTGGTTGGACATATTCCTGGAGGGTTCATCGCATGACATAATCGATAATTAAAGATTAGCCTTTAATTCCTGGAGACTCCAGGACGATCCTGAAGGGTTGGCAACCCTAAGCAAGAGGCTGAGTGCTGACAAGGGTTGAGCCATTGACACCATGGGGGATGGGAGATCGCAAGAAGGAAGAGATCCATCTCATGGCAGTCAGGTTTGAAGTCTTATTTCCCTATGGCAGCTCAGACTCTTGTGGTTGGGGGCTGAGCCCCATAACCTCTCAGATCCCTCCCCTTTGAACAAGCACGAGTTAAGGACGGTCAGACTGACCACTCCCTCTCTCACCCCATAAACTGTTCTGCAAGAGGAGAGCACTGAGGAGAACGTTATTACCTCAAGCCAGGCAGAGCTCACCGTCGACAGGCCTTAAAATCACTATTGACAACTCAGTTGAGATCATGCAGGATTATTAGCCTCTGTGCGTTCTGCCCTCCCCTCATTATCCCCACTTGCTAGAAAGAGAACAGCGCACGCAATGGAGGGGCCGTCTAGCTCGCTCCTGTCATTATTACATTTCAATAATGCTTACAGGCCCGGTCAAAAATCAAGGCCCTCTTGTGTTAGGCCCAAACACAGAGTAAAGGGTGAGCCCCGACCATTTGTAGCAGGGGCGCTCTCTGTTCAATACCCTGCATTTCAGCTACCGGGAGAAGCCAAAAAACAATCCCCCGAATAGTGCTCCGGATTGTTTGAATCAATAATCAACCTCCACTTCCGCCTCTTTTTTCCAAACTTCAGTTCGAATCACTGCATTTTGGGGAGGATGAGGAGGATTAAATTTGCTATAAATTCTCTCAGAGCCTCATGCTATTCAAATCCCTGAATTAAATCCACTCAAAGTCGAGGCCTTGCTCTGCTAGCCATCATAAAGAAAGCATTCAATCACTATGAAGTAAGTCAGATCTGCAGAAAATACATCCCAGATCCGTGGGCTTTATGACAGGCACACAACAGATACATATGAAAAACGTTATACTTGCAGATAAAGCTAACACGGAGTAAGTGCTTAAGGTCCAAATAGCGCTCCGGCATCTCTCAACCAATGTGAGCAAGGTTAGTGTCTATTGTTAATTAGCTAAGACAAAGCTAAAGCCGCATGCCTATGACAGGGAGCATAGACCTTTGCACTAACTTCAAGGAGAGCAGGGTCGAAACCCATTTGTGTTGTGCTAAACATGTGCCTAAAACAGCGTAATAATTTTCCATTTAAATTCCTCTTAAAAACCTGGGTCTCCCTGCACCGGAGTGTAATTCAAAATCCCCTGTATGAAGCAGTGTCCTTTAGCCAGGTAACATTGTTCTGATCACCAGCAATGGCACTTCTAGGGTGACAGCAAGTGTGAAAAATTGGGACAGGGGGTTGGGGGTAATAGGAGCCTATATAAGAAAAAGACCCAAAAATCGGGATTGACCCTATAAAATTGGGACATCTGGTCACCCTACCTGTATCACAGTGATGTGAATGACATTTCCACTGGCATCAGTGGTACAAGGAGAGCCTGAAATATCTTTTGCTAACATAGGCCCTCATCCTGCAGTCTTTTTTCAAGATCCCCGCTATCTTCAGACACAACTTTGGATTGTTGGATTGTTTTCCTATATCTATGATAGACAGACACGTAGTGCTATTGTAGCCGTGTTGATCCCAGGATATTAGACAGACAAGGTGGGTGAGGTGATATCTTTTATTGGACCAACTTCTGTTGGTAAGTGGGACAAGCTTTCAAGCCACAACAGAGCTCTTGCCAGACCGGAAGAGCACTTGCGGAAGCTGGAAAGCTTGTCTCTCGCTCTCACCAACAGAAGTTGGTCCAGTGAAAGAAATGACCTCACCCGCCTTGTCAGACAGATAGATAGATATTGGAATTCACCCACATATTATGCATTAAAATCCGCTACGTGTTTATAATAGAAGTTGTGCACTAAGTCTAAAAAATGCTTCATGGCTCTCTGGCTATTTTACCGTGGCTTGTTATAACAGTGTGTGGGGCAAACATGCCCTTGAAGGTTTTGCAACCCAACCATTGCAGGGCAATGCTAGGGCAGGAGAGAGACCGAGGGAAACCCACTAGAAATAAAAGGCTGCAAAAAGCATAACAAGTTAGGTGCATAATTGGGCGCTTTGCTACAGCGGCCTCCCTGGAGTGCTCACCACCTGTGAGATGAAGCAGGTGCACCATTCAGTGCAGGCCCCAAGCCCTCGTTTGCGCCAGTTAAATGCAAAAAACAACATGAACGCAGACAGACTAGTTTTTATAACCCTTACCATGTTAACCACCTACGCCCCCTCCCCATGCTGCAAACACTGGGTGCCGCTTACCTTTACTAGGGGGAGCATTCCCCTTGCCTGCCATTCTCCCAGGACAACTGGCCCCAGTGAGGTTCAGCAGGTGGATAACTGTGGGCCTAAAAAGGCATTTTAAAAAAACCAACAGTGATAGGGAATTTTTAAACCAGTGCAACACCCACCTCCCCTCCCGCTCAGAAACGCTCTCTTGCCGAGCTGGGCTTGTCCTGCACCGTGCCCGCTTTGCTGCTGCTCCTGGACCGGCTCTGGAGGCAATTCCCCCGGGGGCCCAGCCCAGCCGGGGTTATCTCCAGCGGCGCAGATCAGTGGAGCGGGCTGTAATTGCCCTGTCAGCCAGCTGCAAGGCGCTTCCCCCTGGAGCTTCGGCCACTTCCAAATGAAATTCTTTCTTGGGCAGGGCCCTGCCTGCTCCGCCGCAGCCATCAAAGCGCAGGCAGAGGGTCGCCGCTGCCCCGGGCCATAGATCTCCCGGCTCAAGACAGGAATGAGAGTGGGGGGCGGGCAACCAAAAAGAGCCTCCTGGAGCCCAGCGCCGCGTCCTGGCTCGCAGCCAGGCTCCCCGGGGAGCTCCCCTGCCCGCCCCACGCCTGCGGGAGCCAGTCCAGCCAATCGGGCTAAGGGGCTCCCTGTTTGGGCTGCAGGGGACCGGGCCAGGCTGGCTAGCGGGGAGAGACGCTGCAGGACCGGGGGGGGCTGCTGCAGGGCAGAGCCCCCTCACCCGCCCGGTAACAAGGAGCGATGGCTGCACCCTCCGGTCCGGGCTGGGTGCAGGGGCAATCGGGCTGTCTGGGGGGTTTAAGCCACCCAGCTCCAAGCGATCGCTGCAGCGGCTCGGCCAGTGTCTCTGCGCGCTGGCAGCAGATGACTTGGTGGGGGGCGAGAAAGTGCAAAGCATCTGGATGGGCTAGTCCCGGGCCTCCCTCTGCTAGCCCTGGTGGCTCTCAGATCCCGGGGTATTAGTCCGGGGCGGTGCTGAAGCACCCCCACCCCCCATGCAGAATCCCCCCGGGGCTGGCCCGAGTGGCGAGCAGGCTTGCAAGGGTTAAGGGGGGGCCGCTGGCCTTTGTTTCCCAAGCAGCACGAAGGGCCGGGCCGCTAACGAGGTAAATGCAATTCGCAGGATTTCACGGCAAATTCCCCAGCCCCCCCGAGCTGGCTGCACAAACAAGCCGCGTTATCCGGTCCTGACAAGCCGCCAGCCAGGCTTGGGGCAGCGGGAGCAGCTGAGCAGAAGAGTGGGACCCGCGCCTGGAGGAATTAGCTGCTGGCTGGGAAGCAGGCATCGCTCCGGATCGGCCCCTGCGAGACCCAGACGCTGAAAGCAAAGGGGGGCCGGGGGGGGGAAGCACCTCTTCGCGGGGCGTTTTCCAGCGCGATCGCCCTGGCCTGCTCGCGGCTCTGATCGGGCCTCTCCACCTGCCCTCCCCGGGGAGCTGAGGGGTTGGCAGCCGGGCCACGGCTGGGTTGGTTGCTTTCCACTCAGCGGCCCGCTTCGGCAGGCTGGAGAACAAAAGCGCCCCGTGCATCCCCCCTGTCCCTTTCCCCGAGGATACCTCCCCCGCTCCGCCTGCTGCAAACTGACCCGAGCTTGCAAAGAAGCCGGAGCCGGGTGACGGCGCGGGCCGGGAAGGGGGAATCCCCTGGAGTCAAAGCGACAGCCCCCCCGCACTCCTGCGAACCCGAGAGTTTAAATGCATCCCCTCCCCTTCCCCGCTGGGCAGGACCAGCCGCAGGTGGGCGTTAGCATAACCCATAGGGAACTGCTTCCGAGTTTTTGGAGGGGGGGGCATTGTAATGGGGAGATTTGGTCTTCAAAGGCTCATGCAAACCTTCCAAGAAAGTCTCCAGAACCGCCTCCCCCCCCACACTCTTTTCCTTCCCCACCCCCCTCCAGAACAAAATGCGAATCGCTTTGAACACTGGGGGAGGGGGGAGGCATCAAACTCCCCGCCGGTTTAGCATAACCCCTCAGGTAACTCCGCTCCGCTTTTCACATGCAGTTTTGCAAACGCTTCCCGCGGGTTAGCAAGTGCAGTGTCACTCCCCGGGGCTGCCCCCGCCTGACAAGCCCGAGTTCCCGGGGGTTCCCCCCCCCCCCCCCCCCCCCACCCCCCGAAGGGGACTTTTTAAAAAGACCAAAACCCCCCCCCCCGCCCCCCCCCCCCCCCCCCCCCCCCCCCTCAGGCGCCAGACACAGGCGATGCCTTTTACCTTTAAAATAATGACTCGCTTTATTTTTTTCTTTTAATATGTCGTTATAAATATATTTTGTCAAAATATAGGATCATTATTGTCAAACCATTTGCACGTAAAGTCATAAATAAGGTCAAGGTGAACGTTTAGTTTAGATCCGGGTCCGGCTGGAAGAAGCAGTCCTGGGGTGCGGGGCGGAGGGGGGGGGGTCCGGGTTTTTAACGGCACCCGCACCCCTCCACCACCATCTCCTGGTAGTTTTTCAGGACCACTTTGTCATACTCGTCCAGGTAGAGCATGGAGATGGCGCTCAGCTCCGTGGGCACGCAGCAAGCCTTGGGGATGCTGGCGTTGACGGAGTTCACCAGGGTTTGCACGATGGCGTGGTTGGTGGAGTTGAGGTGGTCGGCCAAAGGGAAGGGGCAATCCCCGTGGCAGTAAAAGGCCTGGTAGCCCGGGGGGGCCACGATCCAGTCGTTCCAGCCCACGTCGCTGAAATCCACATAGAGCGCGTGGCGGCGGCAGTTTTTTTTGTTCTTGCGGGGCCGCTGGTGCTTGGCGCTGCGGCGGGCCCGGCGGGTCAGTGCGTGGCCCCGGCCGTCGTGGCTGAAAGTGACCAGCAGCGGCCTCAGCTGGGCCCAGTCCCCGTCTCCTTGAGGTAAAGATCGGCTAATCCTGACGTGGTTCCCGGGGGCCGGGGGCAGCGGGGTCACCTCCACCGCCAGCCCGTGGTTGGGCTGCTTGTCCTGGGTCCAGCGGAGGACGGCGGGGCTCACGTCGAAGCTCTCCCACCGGGACACGTTGTGCTGCACCAGCCGCGTGTCCAGCAGCCGCGTGATCACCTGCCCGCGGGCCGGCGGGGGCTTCATCACTTCGTAGATGTTGATCCGGTGCGAGCCCCGTTCCCACGCGGGGCTCCGCGCTTCCAGCTGCTCCCGGTACAGCCGCAGCTCGGCCGAGGTGATCACCTCGTTCTCCGGCACGCTGCTGAGGTTGAAGAGGAAGCGAACGCGGGGGGCGTCGCTGGGCCCGGGGAGGTTCTCCAGGTGTTCTGCAAAAACCAAGCGTGTGAACGTTTGGCGGCCCCGAGACACAGCGCCCGGTGAGTCGGGACACACCGCTTCACCTGTCCCTCGCCCCGCACGGAGAGAGACCAGCCCTCCTGGGCAATATCCCCGGCTGCCTCCAAAATGCGAAGTAGCAACCTTCCCCCCGGCTCGCCAACGCATCATCTCCTTGTCTAACCAGGTCCTGCCCCGGAATCCCGCTTCACCACCACGGGCCTTATCCCTATGGATCTACAGACGGGGGAGTCTTAAAACAAAGTTTCTTTAAAACACTCCTTCCCCCCCCCGCCAAGGATCTTGCTCACAAACTGCCCAGCGATTGGGAAACACAGAGCCCTGCCTTGCTGATCCCATTCCTGGGGGGCGGGGGGGAGGGTTAAATTCCGACACAGCAATGATGCTGGTGGATTAATAGCTCCGCTTGACTTTGGAAAAGAAACATCCGCTACGAAACATTTGGATCAGATTACAAGGCCCCATTGAACGAACCTCACAAACACGCTGTTGTCGGTATTCAATTCGAGGAGGTTTTTTTATTTTCTTTCTTTAAAAAAAAAAAGAGAGCCCAGGCGGGCAGCGATCGCGTTGATATTTCAAAACCAACACACACGGGCCGCGATTGGGAGGGATCTCGGTTACTCCGGAGTGAATTCCGTGGGAGCTCAGGGGGGGTGACACGGGTACAAAGCCGGAGTGACTGGAGCCCTGGTGAGAGAGCCCTTCACCAAAACGGGTCCAGTTCAACCTCAGCGCAGGATGCTGGAAAATACAGCCGCGGGACTAGCCCAGGGGAGTCCGCCTGCAGCCGAGGGCTGGGCACATCCTGTTCAGACTGAGCTGGGAGTCTCCAAATCCCGATCGCTTCCCGCCGCCCCCCCCCGCCGCCCCCGAACTGCGGCACTGACCTTCATGGTGGAAACTCCTCACGGTGTTGGCCCGGCTAGTGGATCTCTCGGGATACCGCAGGCTGATGTCCTGCAGGCTTTCCTCCTCTTCCCCGGACTGCAGCCGATAGAGATCCAGCATGTACGCGGGGACGACGGCTGCTTTGCTGGGCTGGGGCCGCCGGCGCAGCCCGAACATCTGCAGCAAACTCGCCTCGACACCCCGCAAGAGTTCATGGCTTTGCCCGGAGCGGCGTCCAGATCCTGCTTGAGCCTGGAGTTCTCCAACTTTCTTCCTCCCCGTCTCGGGTATCAAACTGGCATGGTTAGTACCTCCTAGCAGCACTTGGCATAACAGAATGACCATCAGCATTCGGCTACCAGGAATCATGGTGTCTCTGGGGGGTTCAAAAAAACGCAACAACAAACAAGGAGGGTCAAGATTAAAAACAGCCACCCCCCCCCCCCTCCCCCCAAAACCCGGCTGCAGCAGCAAACGCGTCTCAGAGGCACAGGGATCGCCTGGAATTGACTCGCTGGAACTTGTTTGCAGCCCAAGAGCCCCCACCATCAGATAGCCGCTATCCGGCTCCTCTGTCCGGTCCTTGCTATCTTAGCGAGGATCTCCGCCTAACTTCTTTCAAGAATAAACACTGAACATTGGGCTTCGGTGGAATTTCTCCTCTCTCCCTCCCGCCTCCTCCCCAGCCCCACGGATCGCTGAAGTGCAGCTGATCAGGGGCCGGTGGAGGGGGGGGGGTCTCCAGGAGCATGGATCCCAGTGCAAGGGGGGGGGGGGTTTGCACCGAATCAACTTGGCCCCTTGTCTTGTTTTGCCGGCGCTGTGTGGCTCCAGCTTTGCCGCGGCCTTCAAGGGGTTTGGAGAAAGGAGACAACACGCCAGAGGGAGAGGCGGGGGGCAAGTCACTTGGATCTAGGGCCACTGCAAAGATAAGGCAGAGAGCGATTGCAAAGTCCCCGCTCTCTTAGCAGCAGCGCCTGGGGTGGGGTGGCACGGTGCGGTCCCCGGGAGCCAGGGCAGAGCCGAACGGGACTGACACCCCTTCCAAGCCCAGGAGCAGGGGGAGAAGGAGAAGGGGCTACTCACTGACAGAAAACAAGGCATGGGAAAACAGTCCATGATTCTTGCCAGCCAATCTGGAACAAACGGGCGGAAAAGCGCAGGGGCTCGGAGGCGCTTGGCTGCCGGGGCTGGGACTGCGGAGCGGCTCCTAAAATGAATATTTGAATCCAATGAGCCTCCAAAGCGGACTGGCTCTGTTTTTCTTCCAGCCCATGGGAGTCACGTGGGGCCCCAGTCACTCCTTGCACCGCTTGTCCGTCACAGCCAGGCACCGCCCACTGGACTCCACAAGGGATGTCCCGCCCCTCCGCCCCTGTCAATCTCCTGGCTGGAGAAACCTCCTCTTGCCAAGGGGCAGTGGCAGGCCTGGTCCTGGCCCGACTGAAGTCCCCTGGGTGGGGGTTGAGGGTGACTTCAGGGGGAGCAGGCGCCGGCTTTAAGCTGGAGACCCTCCTTGGCCTTGCACTTGCCCCGACCCTTTGTGCCTAGCACTGCAGTGCCTGAGCAACTGCCCTCCCAGCCCCACCGCACCAGAGCCCCACTCCCCGCAGCCCAGCCCAGCCCAGCCGCTCCTCCCCCTGCATGCCTGCTACCGCGCTCCGCATCCTGGCGCTCGTGCAACGACCCCTGGGAGTGACTGGGACCCAGGCGCGACCGGCCTTTCCGAGCAGGTCTCCCTCCCCCTGTAGATCAAGTAAACCCCCCGGCCTCCCTTGAGCGCACGTTTCTCCAAGCGTTACACCCTGGGGGCAAAATAACCCTTGCAAAAGGTCCAGACACATGGAGGACAACCCTTGTTTTCCCTAGCCTGCAAGAACCTTCCCAGCATTGAGTTAGATGGGGGGGGGGGTCACTCAAATCCTGATCAGAGGGGTAGCCGTGTTAGTCTGAATCTGTAAAAAGCAACAGAGGGTCCTGTGGCACCTTTAAGACTAACAGAAGTATTGGGAGCATCAGCTTTCGTGGGTAAGAACCTCACTTCTTCTTTCAGAGTTGCAGCCCTGTTAGTCTGTATCCGCAAAAATAACAGGAGTACTTGTGGCACCTTAGAGACTAACAAATTTATTAGAGCATAAGCTTTCGTGGGCTACAACCCACTTCTTCGGATGCATCTGAAGAAGTGAGGTTCTTACCCACCAACGCTTATGCTCCCAATACTTCTGTTAGTCTCAAAGGTGCCACAGGACCCTCTGTTGCTTTTTTCCAATCCTGATGTTCTTAACAAACCATCGGAAGGATTTGCGAATAGGGCAGGGGCCTGTTTTGCTGGGATTAGAGCTCCCGCCCCAGTTTAAAAACACAACACAACACCACGAGTAAAACCCAAGGCATGGTCGATTTCATCAGCGCCATAAACCCTCGGCGAAAACGCACTGCGCTTGGCCTAACGCTGAGCTTCCCATCTGAGCGATGGGGCCCTGGGAAAGTCGTCTTCGCTTCTAGGAGCAAGTCCCATATGAACTAGCCTTTGGAATCTGATCCTCCCCCACCCCCTGTCTTTGCACTTGGGTGTTAAGTTAATTATTACCGCTACATGCGGGCTTCGGTGAGTTACTTCCAAGAACTGGACATCTCAACAGCTCGAGTAATTTACAGGCGTGTAGGGACTCTCCGAAGCAGGAGTCTGTCATCGGAAAGGGCCTATTCAAAAACATTACACAGTGTCGAGTCAAAACCAGGGCAACACCTTTCCCAGCGCGCTCAGACCCAGCGCCTGTGAAGCAGGGCCAAACTCAGCCATTCGTCCATCAAGGAGAGCCCCAGAGCCCAGCTAATCCACGCCAAGGCAGAGAGACATCCCCACCCATCTGAGCCCGGGACCAAGCCCGCCTGATTCTGTCCTTCTCTCTCGCTGACTTCACCGTGTATATTTCACTTGTCCCCTTGGATCCCTCTCGTGAACTCGTTAAAGGAGCCACAAGAAACAACAACGAAACTCCGTTTGGACAGGAAATAGCGCCGATTCATGCAGCATCTCCCGCTCAGCGCTGCTCCCGCTCTATTTACACGAGCGATCTCCCTGGGGCCTGCAGGTGCCGGAGTGAGTTTTAAACACGAGACACTGCTGTTTGAAAAGGCGGGGGGGGGGGTTATTCCGTAGTAACTCTGCGATTGAAGGAAAGCAGGTCGCCCCGACGCTTCCCCAAAGCCTGGCAGGCAGGTTCCTCGGTGACAGGCGATTTAAAACTAAGAGCTTAGAGGAAAGGCTAAGAAGTGCGAATAATGGGATTTCAGACGGCTGGGTCTGGCGCTTCCCTTTAAGCCTAGGATTGGATTTGTAGAACTTGTTACCTGCGGGGGAGGAAAAATGCCCCCCTGCTCTGTCTGAAGCGGCGGAACCAGGCGGCCCTGCAAATCCTCAGTTCCCTTCCACCATCAAACCACGCTCCTCTGTGAGTGTCAGACCCAAGCGGACTGGGACTGGGATGGCACCACCCGAAATCAAGCCGCACACAGAGAGATTTTCCACTCCCCTTTCTCGCTGCACGTGCTTTTCACTCCCTCTCCCCGTCCGTCTCCTCCCCCCCCCCCCCACAAGGAGAATCGCATCTGAAATCCTCTTGGGTTCAGCCAAGCGCCCAGCACCCTCGGCGAACCGCTGTCACCTGCACTCGCCTGGTGAGAACCAAAGGACGTCCCTGGGGGGTTGAAAACCCCAAGGAATATGCGGGGTGGGGGGCGCACAAAGATGATAGCGGACACCCCCCAAGGTCACTCAGGACACTGCCTTTGAAAGGGGACCTGGGGAGTCGCCTCTCCCTGCCCTAGAGGAGGCAGAGTTTGGGACTGAAAAGCAGCCGCACTGGGATGGTTGAAGATCTGGTCTCTCTCCCCCCCTCCCCACCAGATGGGGAAAGAGACCTGGTTACCCCCAGCCCAGAGTCAGGTATGGGGGGGAGCATCGCCCTTGGGGTGACAGGGCAGGCGGTGCTGCCCCAATCTCTCACCACAGGTCCATGCACTAGCATGATCCTTGGCACGCTCTGATGGAGGGTGCGGGAGCCAGGGGGGCACACACAGCAATCTGGGGAGGTACTAAATCAGAGGTGGGCAAACTCCAGCCCGGGGGCTGCATCTGGCCCTTCAGATATTTTAATCCGGCCCTCGAGGTCCAGCCGGGGAGCAGGGTCCGGGGCTTTCCCTGCACCAGCCGGGGAGCGGGGTCAGGGGCTTGCTCCACTCCGTGCATGCCGGGGCTCCACACCGCTCCCGGAAGCAGCGGCACATCCCTCCTCCACCTATGCGTAGGGGCAGCCAGGAGGCTCCGCACACTGCCCCCACAGCTCCCATTGGCCAGCAACCATGGCCAATGGGAGCTGCAGGGGCAGCACCTGCAGATGGGGCAGAGCCGCCTGGCCGCGACTCCGCATAGGAGCCGGAGGGAGGACATGCTGCTGCTTCCAGGAGCTGCTTGAGGTAAGCACTGCCCAGTGCCTGCACCCCTGACCCCCTTCCGCACCCCAACCCCCTGTCCTAGCCCTGATCCCCCTCCTGCCCTCCAAACCCCTCGGTCCCAGCCCAGAGCACCCTCCAGCATCCCCAATCTCTCATCCCCAGCCCCACCCCAGAACCTGCACCCCCAGCCGAAGCCCTCACCCCCTCCCGCACCCCAACCCACAATTTCAAGAGCATTCATGGTCCACCATACAATTTCCATACCCAGATGTGGCCCTCAGGCCAAAAAGTTTGCCCACCCCTGTACTAAATGCTAATCCCAGCACTGAGGGAACACCACAGTCAGCTGCCAGCAGCACCCTCGGTCCTTGCTAAAGCCACTTTGCCTGGGTATTCACCAGAGCCAAGTTCAGAAGTCAGTGTCCTCTCTCCCTCTTCTCTTCCTTTCCCCCGACCTCTCCCATGTCCCTTCCTCCCACTTTGCCTTCCCTGACTAACCCACACCATGGACCAGGCTAACCCACACCAGCCAGTTCACTACGCATGCAAGTCCTGGGAGCTCCCATCAGCCACCTGTGAGGATGTCACTCACCCCCCCCCACGGCCAGGCTGGACTAGCAGACCACATGCAAGGGCAATCCAAAGGATGCACAGACTACCTGCCACTGATTGGTGTACGCTTCAGACACAGGTATATAGAGACTACCCTGATCACAGTAACCACTCCAGCTGATTGCTTGAATGAGGGATGGACCCACCCCTCAGAGTTCAACCCCAGATCCAAACTTTCCTGAAGAGTGGGGGGCTGGGATCTGGGGCAGACATGCCAAACCCGCAGAAAAAACGCAGACATTGGGCTTGTTTTCAGCTGAATTGGCTTGTGAGTTGCTAGTTTTTGGCTTGTAGCTTGTTTGGCTGGTAGCTTGTTGTAGCTTGCTACTTCTTTTTATCAGCTCCCGGCAAGCAGGGGAGAGAGTCAGGGGTGCCCAGTGAATCTAAGTCCATAGTCAATCACTGGGGATCTCAGTATTGTCAGGCAGTGCATTTTTCCAGGGTCAGGGTGTGTATTTGTGGGAATTCGGGGCCCACCCCAGTCCTAGACTGCACGCAGGGGGGATCTAGTCACACGGAGTGTTGGGGATCTTAGGGATTTGGTTGTTTTGAAATGGGATTAGCTTGATTTTTGGCTGATTGGGAAAGCCGGGGTGCTGATTTACCGTGTGAAAGCTGGGAACCGCGATCTGGGGTGGGGCGGGGTTGGCTCACCACAGACATAGGCCAGCTGCACCATTCAGCTGCAGACTTCCCCAGACTTCAAGGCAGTTCACATCGGAGATTTGGGGTCAGGCCCAGCTGTCCTTGGAGGTAGTGAACCCCCCGGGAAGAGCAGGCGATGGACAATGCAGCTTTCAAAGGCAGGTCTGTACTGATGGGGGGGTGTAGACTCCAGACACGCACACCCGGATCGCGTGGGTATGAACAGCAGTGTAGACAGTGAGGCGCAGCTTAGGCGAGCAGAGTGCCCCACACACCTGAATCCTAAGGCATGTACCCTACCCAGCTCTACTTACCCAAGAAGTGCCTCCCATGTCCTGATGCTGGCACCTTTCATTGCCGGGGG